CAATCTCTCATGTTGAAGCTGTTCTACTGTGGATAAATAAAGAAAAAAGTGATTTGAGCAGGAGGACCAGACCCAGAGTCTTCTGCCTCCCAGGTGGGTGCCCTAACCATTGGATTAGAGCAGTGGTTCTCAGCCTATTTATCATTCTGGGCCTCATATGTGGCCCACAAAGCGTTAACTGGGCCGCAGGTTGAGAATCACAGTGCCCCCACCTAAAACCCGCACAAACCCCTATGGCTCAGCGCCCTCCGTCCAGAGACCCCCTCCACAGAGTGGGACCAGGGGCGGACAGCTGAGCATGGGTGGGGTGGGAGGCAGGGTGCCCAACCCCGGCTCTACTGCGCAGGGACCACGACCCCCACTGTGCAGGGCCAGGTTGCCCGGACCTGGCTGGGGGGGGGAGGCAGGCGGCAGCCGGCTGCCCAGATCCCGCCGCGTGGCAGGGTAGACAAGAGCCCGGAGCCCGCGGTGGGGGGGGCGGTCGCTGGGAGCCCACGGCCTTTAGCACACAGCTGAGTTGGGCCGCGGCTGTGTGCTAATTGGGCCGCATGCAGCCCGCGGGCTGAGAACCACTGGATTAGAGTGCCATTTTCTCTTTCTCTGGCCCAATGACCATTTAAGTATTTATCCACAGAGGAAAAGTCTTTGGGCCAGACAGAGAAAATGACTCTGTAGTCCCGTGGTTCAGGACATGTGAGGTGGGAGACTCAGGGTCCAGTCCTCCTGCTCCAATCACTCTTCTATTATTTATCCACAGGGTTTCAACTTTAACACGAGACAGTGATGGAGAGGCCCTCCCCCACATCAGAATATCCCTTAGCTGTGTGATTAGAGCACTCCCCATGAGAGGTGGGAAACCACTGTTCAAATCCTCTGGCAGAGAAACGGGGGAAATGAACCTGGGTCTCCCATATTCTTGGCAAGTGCTTTAATCACTGGGCTAAAAGTTGTAAGGTAGGCACCTCCTCTTCTAGCTATTTTGCGTGACATGAGGCAGGTGCCTAATTCATTCTTCCAAGAAACTACATAGGTGCTTACGCTGCCTGACTCCAAGACTCAGGACCTCATTAGTGGAATGCTAGCAGAGATAGCAGTCCTAGACTTAGGTGCCTATCTCAAAACGAGGAGAAGCTTAGGTCCCATCTCTCTTGCCAAGATCTCCCACTGGCTAGCTTAAGCAGACCCCAGTCTAGCATTCTGGCTTTTGTGGATCACATTCTAAGGCACCTATCTCCCTCATTCACTGTATAGGAGCCTAGATGCCTAACTCAATCTTGTGGATCTGTGTCATTCTAGTGATTTTGTAGGCACCTAAAAGTTAGGTGCTGCAACACTGGACTGAAGTCCCTTTGTGGATCTGTCCCACAGTGATCAATACTGGAGTCAAAAGATTTCTTATGCATACTCTTTTACAATACCACAGTACACAAATTGTTTGGGGTATTATTTTTGTTCCTGCCTTCATACTCTTTTTTTTTTTTGGATACTTTGTATTCTAGACAAACAATTTAGGCCCCAATACTACAATGACAAAGTCAACTGGCCTCGTCATGGGTGTAAGGGTCTGCCCATACAGAACTTATTACAGGATCAGGGCCTTATATTATAAACTTCTTGAGGCTGCCCAACTACATATTTTATAAAACATAGGTGCAAATAATGGGGCTACATAATTAATATTAGGGGCAGTGTAGTTTTGCCCTCTTCTATAGCATGAGTAACCACCACTGGAGAGAGGTTACCAGCTGTGATGGACTGATGCTCTCAACTGGTAAGCACAAATTCTACATTGATTCAGTGAGTAAGAAAGTGATATTTTAAAAAATATATATCTAAGGCAGCAGAGATGGCTTCAGCATCATGTGAATGGAAAGAAATAAGAGGATCTGGAGAGAAGAAAGACTAGAGTTCTTTCTGAAAGTGAAACTTTGACATCCAGTAAAAGAAGTGGCAAAGTTAGCATGTGGATTAGCAAGACTACAACATGTCAGTGCTAATGATAAATTAGCCCATTGGTTGCTAACGTTCAATAAATGCGGGCAGGGGACTGGACTCGATGATCTCTCGAGGTCCCTTCCAGTCCTAGAATCTATGAAATCCCTGTCTCTTAGGGTACATCCATACTGCAATAGAGGGACTCACAGCACAGTTGAAGCTGGCCCAGGTTAGCAGACTTGGGCTAGTGGGGCTCAGGCTGTGGGGCCATAAAATTGCAGCGTAGACACTGGTTTGAGTCCCAGTGTCTATACTATTATTTTATAGCACCACGGCCCAAGCCTCACAAGCCTGAGTCAGCTGACCCAGGCCAGCCGCAGGTCTTTTACTGCATGTGGACATACCCTTATTGTCAGATACTCAGCTGAGGGTACTTTTGACTTAAAATCCCAGATGGTTTCAACAATTTACATTTATTAACATGAGACTAGTATGTGATGAAAAACAGATTAAGTTTTTAATGTAAAACAATATTTAGTACAATTGTATATATACGGTCCACACATTTCTTATTTGTGCTCTTCAATAATGTAATCACACAGCTACTCATATTTTCAAACAATTTAGTGAGGGAAAAATAGCTGTATTTACTGTATAAATGGATCATTTAAAAAGCTTTGTTAAAGCCTTCCTCCACACTATTCATTAAAAGCATAATGAATATTCAATATTACCCATCATACCATTTTAAAATGTGATTCAATAAACATGTATAAACAATTACATCTCAATACCTTTAATTCACAGAAAGACTGGGGTGCTAAATGTTCTGTGATGTTCTATTTCTCTGTAGACCCTATGTTTCAAATTAATCTTCAGTCAGACACGGGAGGTTGTGTCTTTCAGCATTTTAGCCATTTTACCCACCACAGTGGTGTTTCTTTCAGGTTCTAAAACACTCTCACTGTTCCTGTACAGTTTTCAGAGGCTTTTTTAAGGTTGAATATTTAAATTTTTACATTTACAATTTGGTATCACTTCTCAAAAATAAAGGCTTTTTCTCCTCCTTTTGTCTAGATTTATGGGAAACGTATTTACGTTCGTATGTGGTTACAAAAGCAGACCACACCCTGCAACCACTAAAAGGCTTATTCTTTCTGGGGGCATAATGTATCCAGATGCCATTTAATTTCTGAAGAGTTACGTCACATATGTGCCCATGTATTGATGCCTGAACAAACCCCAGAGTGCTGACCCTTAAACAGAATAAATATATGAACAGCACATTGCAGTTACATGCTTTATTCTCATTGGATTTTACAGCACAAAACTATTTTTCATCCCTTGGAGAAGGCGAGCTCAATTCTGGATAGCCTAGGCCTGTAAGTCTACTGAAGCAACAAGTGGTAGTTTGAAGTATTTGCATTATAGCAGACACAGGAATCACCTATAAATGATAGCTCTGTTAAAGCAGACAAAATAAAGATCTCTACAAGTAAGTTACCAGGAAGGACCCAGTTAATTCTACAATCTCTGTTTAGGACCACCACAAAGGTTTACAAATGACATATTTTGCCTTCGTATTTAACTTGATAGATTTCAGTGAGTTTTTCTAAATAACTGGAGCTGGGGATTTTGTTTATTTTATTAAGCACTGATTCTGTGCTTGCCATTATGCAAGACACAGACAATTCCTACCTCTCAAGATCTCAAAATCAATTAAAAGACCTGAATGAGACAAAATGCACTGAAAACCCCCAGGGGAAGTTGTTAAAAAAAAAAATCAAAGTTAAGTCTCTCTCTTATAAAATGCAGAGTGGGAGAGGGCATATGTCTTACTTTAGTTTTTGTGGGCCTCCCCACAGAAGCAATCCTATTGGAGAGAGCACAGGCCTGGCTGGACACTTGGACTGGAAAGGTGTTCCAATCATAGATACAGCAGGGAATGCGGCAGAAATGAAAGGGAAAGGCAACAAGATAGCATTCGGGGAAAAGCAAAAAAACCCTTTTAAATAAAACTCCCCTGGAACACCACCTATAACAAAATGAAGTTCCTTAAAATACAAATTAATATATTCTGGTATTCCAGGCAAATGGACACAGAAAACTTTTGGTTATCTGAACTTATGCTTTAATTCAGCACTTAGATACCAAGGGGGTAATGGAAATGTGATTAAAAAAAACAAACTGAATTGTAGATAAAGATAAACCTGTGCAGGGTCTTTAAGGGAAAAAAAATGGGAATTTTAATCTTTAATACTTCAACTTCAAGAGCTGTAGTGTGATACACAATAAGCCCCAACCAACACAAATGCACACCCAAAAAGACATTGTGATAATTACCTGATTTCCAAGTCCTCATGTTCCCTTTTTTATTTAGCTGTATGATTTTAGTTAAATGTTGTGAACATTAGTCATAAAAGTGAGAGGGTGATTACTTTGTCTAGAGCAGCAATCTTTCTGCTAGAAATCTACCAGTAACCTTTCATACTGGATTTAGAACTAGTGTTTTATCCCACATGCAGAACATCTTTGCCTTTCCCCTATACGAGTCCCCTATCCACACATTTCTCTAGATTATTTTGTCTCTGATAACCAAAATCCATTAGTGGTCTGGAGAGAAGCATGGTGTGGTCAAGGCACTAGACTGGGAACAAAGGTTATCTGGATCAGTTCCTAATTCTGCTAGAGACTTTGTGTGTGATCATGGACAAACCTAGTAGCCACATAATTGTATTGAATCTTTTCATTGATTGCAATGGGCATTGGACTGGGACCATAACCTTTGCCTCAGTTTCCATCAGTAAAACGAAAATACTACCACCTTCCCTATCTCAGAAGGGTGTTATGAAGATAAATTACTGTCCATTGGGAGGGGAGGGGGGAGTCAGATATTTATGGTGGTGAAGACTATATATTTACTGACAAAGACAGTTGTCATGACAGACAAAAATGCTGTATACTTCTTGCCTTTTCCTTAAAAATATCATTGAACTTAAGAAAAACTTTAATAGTAAAACAGTTCTGCAGTAACGTTCAACTGCATGATGGATAGATGATGTTACCTGGAATTATAAAGTTATAGTACTTTTCCATTAGTTTCTGAATCAGCTGGTTGGCCTTTTTTATTCTCCCACCTCCATCACTGAGAAATTCTGATTTGCTTAAGCCAGCTTCCAGAAGGTAAATTCCAACCTGTGAAACATATTTGCAAGAAATTAAAATGATTAAGGAATTAAAATAGATTTAGAGAACAAAAACCAAACCAGAACAATGCTTATAGGTTAGGAAACTACATTTGGCAAATTTTGAAGACTGGTGGCTATGGATAGAGTTAATCTCTTAACCCCATGCAAAATTTTAGTATGCCACACTTAGGAACTCAGATGGTTTCTAAATTCATTTTAAGTGACCTTAATGTGCAATGATTAAAGGCAATTATTCAAAAAACATTGAAAATATGTATGCAGATAACTACTGAAGAGTACACTTTGCACTGTATTCTAGAAGTGTGTGGTGGGACCTGGACTTGCCAAATGTTTACCTAACTTTCTATTTTATAGTACCAAACACAAAATGAGCTATTTTTATTTGAAAATCCCTCTTAAAATAAACTGCATGAACAAATACCTTTAATGCTTGATCTTCTCTAGGTCTTTGATAAAGTCCAATTACCTTCTTCTTTTGCAACCATCTCAAGTCTTCTAACATTTCACTATTGAGAGATGATTCCACCAATATGCCCTCTTCATAATCACCTAGGCTTTCTTTTTCCTCCTCACCCCCTTCTTCTCCACTTCTTGCATGAAGACAGATTTGCAGCTGATCACCAGAATCTGTTCTCATCAAAGTAAAACTCCTTTTATGGATCTTCTCAATAAGAATTTTCTGAGGAAAAAGCTGAAGAACAAATTCTCCAAGTAAAGCTTTCCAGGAATTGTCTGAATGGTAAGGCAAGACTACAATGTTTAGCTGTACAGATATAGAGGTCAAGATGGAGCAAGAGTCTTCTCCGTCATCTGTTGAGAAACCCACTGACTTTGACCCTCTGTTTTCTCTGTAAGCCAGTCCTTCATCAATGCTATCATCATCTATAACAAAGGATACAGAAGAGGTGCTTGGACCTGGAACAGGGTGGTCTTCATCCATGTTATCATCCAATAGTATTACCTCATTCCTTCGGTCTTCATGCATATTCCAACAGAGTTGCTTCTTTTTCTCTTCATCCATCCTCAGTGGAGGCGCACGCTTTCGACGATTACTCATCTTGCTATTTTGCTGGCAGTGTCCCAATCTCTGTAAAACTGACTAATATTAGTCAATGGTAGATAACACTAATTAGATACCCACATAAATCTTTTATTGTGCTACAGCTGAAGAGTTTGCAGAAGTCACATTAGTTTACAACTCTGCTCATTAGGGGTTCTACAGATGGCTCAAAGTGTCTATTCAGTTTTATAAAACACTCTTGTTCCTGCCCCAAAAAATCACACATACAAAGCCATGTAAAAAGATGTGTCTTATGGTGGTTTTAAGAGATCAATTGCTTATTTTAATCAGAGAAAGGAACTCACTCATTTCTTCTGCCTAGTTCAATCATCATCCAAAACTTTCTAGTCAGCACCACTTATTTTTCAAATGAAGTTAACACCAGGAGTACTTTTTCCTCTTGAACAAAATGTTTCTTGGAAGTTATAATTAATCAGTGAGACAGACCATGAAAACTGCAAAGTGAAAGAGGGGTACACAAAAGGCTTGAAAAATCCACTCTCTTGTGGTAAGCAGGAAGCTTTCCCTAGCAAATGGGGAGCCTACATATCAGCAATTTTAATGCAATTTAAGAATTTGGGATTTTTTTTTTATAGTCCTTGTGATTGCATAGACAATTTTCCAAATGCAAACTGATTGTAAACCTATGAAGCACTGTCACCTGGAATCTGTAGACTAACAGTTCAATGAGTCTGCTGCTGCTTCTAGTTTTGCCATGCAGCAACAGATTGAAATTAAGAAGACTGAGCAGTTTCACTGCAGTTATTCAGAATCCCATGGACAGTTGTGAAAATGTCAGGGATCATATTAATTTCACACTGCTGCTGCTGAAGAAAACTATCTGCTTTCCAGGGATAACGCTTTCCTGTGCTGCTGAAGAAAACTATGAGCAGCAGCACAGGAAAGCTTTATCCCTGGAAAGCAGAGGCCAATTCACTTGCAACTGCCTGTGGGTTCCAAAGAAGGAGAAGAGACAAAAAGTTTCTTATAACTTCAAGCACCCAAAGTGGGATGGAGTTTCAAATGTATCCAGCACATACTAGACAGAGGATGACAGAATATAAAAGATGGTTTGGAGCCTGAGCTTCTCAGTAGGCTGTTGTCCATGTATATCCCTGGTGATGTCCATCCTAGCCTTAATATCTACCACTGGCTAGCAGCTTTAGCACCGCACCCCCATCTCCCGCCCCCAGTTAATAAGTGATTGATACATTTTTTTCAAGGCCTGGGAATACTCTTCTCTTGAAGTAGCTTGCACAACAGTCCTTAGCAGTTTGTTGGTGCAACTAAGCCCAGATTCAGCAAAGAATTTAGGTATATGCATAAAACTTTAAGAACACCTGTAGTCCCAATGACTTCCATGGAACTGCCCATGCTTAGGTGCTTTGCTGAATCTGAACTTTGAAGCACAGAGGTTATTTTACACATAATCCTACTAGTCAATAACTTACATATGGTAAATACAGTACATGGAACATGGGGAACATTAAGGATCAATGTTCACAATAAATGCAATCAGTTCTGAGAAGTTAGTAACTATATATTCAAAAAGGTAGTTGTCAAAATATTGGATTTTCAAAAAAAGATAGTTAGAGAGACTTAGATTAGCTCAGCAAAACACTTGAGCTCAGCAAAAGGTTCAAAATAATGACCTTGTATAATTTCAATTTCATTTGCCAGGAATGATCAGCCAAATTAACAGATCTATACCACCTGTATCAAAATTGTTACTGAAATACAATAGCAAAGAAGCAAATATGCTAAACTACTCATTACATAGTCACAGGTCCCAAGGCTAAGGAGGGGTTAACTCTGGAATGAGCCAGAAAATTTCCAGAAATTCTTGGAAGACCTTCTCTTCTTGAATTTGACACAGTAAGAGACTCACAGGCCTGACATACAATACCCCGAAATTTTGTCTTAATCAACTCTACAGAAGCTACTTTTTCTAAAGGAAGCTAGCTGTAAGCTGTTTGTAGACCTGCTCCCTCTGATCATATGGCCCACATTTTATGTTTCTCTGCTAAACAGATTCTCATTGCAGCTCCTGATCATTCAACATCCACAACAGCAGCACAAGGAACTGCAAAAACATACTGCCATTTAGAGTCTGGAGTTTCAACTGCTTCATAATTGAATTGTATGAAAGGAGCAAGTGAAAAAATGAGCACTCAATGGTAATAAAAGGAGAAAACTTACGGTATCTTTCGCAAAACAGTATCTTTTTTCAAGTTATAAGCACATGGTACTGCTCTTCAACTGGATGTCTCATGATGAAGGAACCACAGAGAATACTATGTGCAACTACTTCTGAACCCTTCCCATAGCATCAAACGTTGCTTAAGCATGGCTCTGCCGTCCCTGAACACAATGGCTACCTTGTTCTGTTCCTACAATTTTTTTTTTTTAAACACACAAGAATAGGTTATTGGTGTATCACTCAACCCCCAAATTGGAGGACCAGTGGACTGTTTTTTGTATGGTCCCAATCCTCTGACCGGTCCAACTTGGGTAGCCCTGCCAGAAGAGTAAATCCTGCTAGCATAGAAGGAACACTACCTGTGACCCTGAGAGCTAGTTTTTCCCCCACTCATATGCGGAATGAATTTTGTTATGTGCACGAAAATGGAGGTGAAGTGTGTCACATCACCTTCATATCAGTGCATATAACAAAATTCATGTGGTGGGGCCAAGAGGTTCGGCGTGTGCGAGGGGGCTCAAGGCTGGGACAGAGGGTTGGGATGCAGCGGTGTGAGGACTCTGGCTGGGGGTGAGGGCTCTTGGGTGGGGCCCGGGATGAGGGGCTTGGGGTGCAGGAGGGTGCTCCGGGGCTACGGGCAGGGAGAAAGGACTCCCCCCAGCTCTCTCTCCCTGCAGCAACACCTCGACTGGTGGAGAGAAGCGCCCCTCGGCTCGGGCCGCAGTATAGGCACTCCTCCCCCAGCCCCAGCAGGTCCAGGCCGGGGTTGCCCGGGTTCAGGCTGGGGTAGAGGCGCCCCAGCCGCAGCGGGTCCGGGCCGCGGCATAGTTGGGGCCAGGGGGCTGTCCCAGCCATGGCAGGTTGGAGGCCGAGCTAGGTTGGGGCTGGGGGAGGGGCGCCTCTCCCCTGGCTGCAGCAGGTCCCCGGGTGGGTTCCCTGAGTGCCTGCGTGGCGCTAAATACGCTGCTGCGCAGCTTACAGGGAATTTAAGTCATAGGCACCACATCAAAGTGTAGTCCCCAGGGAACAATCTTTGCAGGTATACTTGCATAAAATCATGATGAATTTTGGACACTGGATGAAATAATTAAAATATGGCCTATGAGGAAAGATTGAAAAAATTGGGTTTGTTTAGTCTTGGAGAAGAAAAGACCAAGTGGGGACATGATAACAGTCTTCAGGTATGTAAAAGGTTGTTATAAAAAGGCGGGTGATAAACTGTTCTCCTTAACCACCAAGAACAGGCCAAGAAGAAATGGATTTAGGTTGTGGCAAGGGAGATTTAGGTTAGACAGAAGGAAAAACTTCCTAACTGTAAGGGTAAAAAGAAGAACAGGAGTACTTGTGGCACCTTAGAGACTAACAAATTTATTAGAGCATAAGCTTTCGTGGACTACAGCCCACTTCAGCTTATGCTCTAATAAATTTGTTAGTCTCTAAGGTGCCACAAGTACTCCTGTTCTTCTTTTTGCGGATACAGATAACACGGCTGCTACTCTGATAACTGTAAGGGTAGTTAAGCAATGTAACAAATTACCATGGGAGGCTGTGGAATCTCCATCACTGGAGGTTTTTAAGAATAGGTTAGACAAACACCTGTCAGGGATGGTCTAGATAATATGTAATCCTGCATCAGTGCAGGAGACTTGACAACTTAACTAGGTCCCTTCCAGTCTGACATTTCTATGAAGAGTAGTATGCCTGTCTAAATGAATAGGTAATGCTGGAAAAGACCAACTGAAAATTTTCAGTAAGAATTTGATTTACTGTAAATTCTCTAATCCAACTTCCATTAAAATCAATGGGAGTCTTCACTTCATTGGGAGCTGGGATAGGCTCTTTGTGGGGGACTTGGCAATAGTGCATGATCCTAAAAAACTCTGACTTCGGTAGGAGTTCAAGGCATGGAACAATAGCAAGATGTGACTGCCTTTTCATTAAACTGACTGATATGCAGATATTTGAGTGAAAATCTCATCATATATATTACACTTTACTTAATGTAATGTTACACAGGACACACACAAAGTAGATTTAGTCTTATCCTCACTTTTCAAAATTATAAACAAACATTGAAAACAAGTTTCATACACTTAAATATTTTACTGTTCTGTGATTTGTATTTGTTTTTCCTATAAAACCAGCAGTTCTGACTAATGCTCCACATTTATTTCAACGCTGTCCCACATCTTCAAAACAATTCTTTGGGACCTGTGATCCACAAATAGTTTCTAAAAATATAAACTAGGGCTGTCAAGCGAATAAAAAAATTAATCATGATTAACTACACTGTTAAACAATAATAGAATACCATTTAAATATTTTGATGTTTTCTACATTTTCAAATATACTGATTTCAGTTACAACACAGAATACAAAGTGTACAGTACTTATTTTAAATTTATTTTGGATTACAAATATTTGTGCTGTAAAAAATACAAAAGAAATAGTATTTTTCAATTCACCCAATACAAGTACTGTAATGTAACCTCTTTATCATGAAAGTTGAACTTACAAATGTAGAATTATGTACAAAAAATAACCGCATTCAAAAATAAAACCATGTAAAACTTTAGAGCCTACAAGTCCACTCAGTCCTACCTCTTGTTCGGCCAATTGCTCAGACAAACAAGTTTGTTAACATTTGCAGGAGATAATGCTGCCAGTTCTTGTTTACAATGTTACCTGAAAGTGAGAACCGACGTTTGCATGGAACTGTTGTAGCCGGCGTTGCAAGATATTTACGTGCCAGATGCACTAAAGATTCATGTCCTTTCATCTTCAACCACCATTCCAGAGGACGTGTCCATGCTGATGATGGGTTCTGCTTGATAACGATCCAAAGCAGTGCAGGCCGATGCACGTTCACTTTCATCATTTGAGTCAGATGCCACCAGCAGAAGGTTGATTTTCTTTTTTTGATGGTTCAGGTGCTGTAGTTTCCGCACTGGAGTGTTGCTCTTCTAAGACTTCTGAAAGCATACTTCACACCTTGTCTCCCTCTGATTTTGGAAGGCACTTCAGATTCTTAAACCTTGGGTTGAGAGCTGTAGCTATCTTTAGAAATCTCACATTGGTACCTTCTTTGCGTTGTCAAATCTGCAGTGAAAGTGTTCTTAAAACGAACAACATGTGTTGGGTCATCATCCGAGACTGCTATAACATGAAATATATGGCAGAATGCAGGTAAAACAGAGCAGGAGACATACTATTCTCCTCCAAGGCGTTCAGTCAAAATTTAATCAACACATTTTTTTAACTAGCATCATCAGCATGGAAGCATCTCTTCTGGAATGGTGGCCGAAGCATGAAGGTGCATATGAATGTTCAGCATATCTGGCATGTAAATACCTTGCTATGCCGGCTCCAAAAGTGCCATGCAAATGCCTGTTCTCACTTTCAGGTTTCATTGTAAGTAAAAAGCCAGCAGCAATATCTTCCATAAATGTAAACAAACTTGTTTCTCTTAGCGACTGTCCGAACAAGAAGTAGGACTTGTGGGCTCTAAAGTTTTACATTGTTTTATTTTTGAGTTCAGTTATATAACAACAAAAATCTACATTTGTATGTTGCACTTTCGCAATAAAGATATTGCACTACAGTACTTGTATTAGGTGAATTGAAAAATACTGTTTATCATTTTACAGTGCAAATATTTGTAATAAAAATAATAATATGATGTGATTATGTGATTAACTGAGAGCCCTAATATAAAGAGATATCAGTAGTATCCTTTTAAAATCACTGGCATGTGAATTGGACTCTCCCATTGTACATGGTCTCAGAATCAAATTTAATCATCATTCTAAGATCCCACATACCTTTCATTATAAAGCCAATAATTTCCCCATACTTCCTAATAGGCAACTGCTCTTGTTGCATTCATCCAGCTGAAGGGTGTGTGATAGCAGCATCTTCTGAGTAATGCTTTGACACTCCACAAAATGGCCAGCATTATGTACTCAGAAAAATAGAAGCTGTCATCCTCTTTAACATAAATCCAAGAACACCTGAATTCCAACAGTTGAGGAAACTGACTGGATTTCAAATTAGACACACAACTGCATGCACACTTTTGCACACGTAGTTTAGGCAAGCAAATGACCAATGTGTATATAAAAAAAGAGGTATCTGCATGTGCACATGGCTAGTTAAATAAGACAACATGCAAATATATATACACACTATTCTACATGCAGGGTTAGAAAATCTGGCACCCTTCCCCCAACTCCAATAATCAAGGTTATTGCCAAGGCTCCTGTTCAGAAACCTCATCTTCTGTCTGCCTATGGACTCTTCCCCATACATTAAAATAAAGAAAGTAAAATCAACAAGAGTGTGTCAAACATTTTTAGGCTAATATAGTATATGTAATATTATGTATATATTTGAAATCTAGTGTTCTGTTAACTTGACATTAAATATGCTTCTTCAATGTAAATGGACACTGTCAACTTAAATTTAACCCACAATTTACATTTCATACAAACAAGATTGTATGAAGCCTATACACATCAACCAACAGAAATGATTTTTCATCATTAAGAGGAGTCTAATGAAATGTTAAAAAAAAAATAAAAAAATATGGAGATATACCTATCTCATAAAACTGGAAGTGACCCTGAAAGGTCTTCCAGCCCCCTGCCTTCACTAGCAGGACCAAATACTGATTTTGCCCCAGATCCCTAAGTGGCCCCTTCAAGGATTGAACTCACAACCCTGGGTTTAGCAGGCCAATGCTCAAACCACATTCCAAACATTGCACCCTAAGAATATAAAAGTGAAACTGTCTGATTATTAGTATCAATACTGAGAAAAGTGCAAGCTTTAAGAATAGAAAAAACGAAGACAAGCTAATTGGATTTTTAGAATTCTTGCACTTAATGTGAACAACAAAGGCCAGTATCCTTCAATCAAATCTATGGAGTTCTCCCTGTATAAACCAGCTGCATTCAGGTCATAATGACAAACATAGTTAAAGAAATCTGTTTGCATCATAATTAAAGAGACACTTAAAATCACGTATGAAACAATCATGTCCACAATATGAGGCCCCAATCCTGCAAAGAAAAGTATGTGGCTAAGTCTTCGACAGATTGGGAATTTATGTAACCTATACAAAGTTAAAGGATTTCTAATATACCTTCTGGATTTGCAATGATCTTTAAAACTGTGCTATATCACATTTCTTATTGTATTGGGCATGTGGTTTTTTGGATTTTTCTTTTGGAGGGGGGACACCTTATATCATTCCTTACAGGAGCTCAAATTTCCTAGACCAGTGGTTCTGAACCTATGGTCATGGACACCTGGGGGTCCACAGACTATGTCTAAGAACTCTAAAGGGGTCTGCTGCATCGTCATTTGAAAATGTGTAGGGAAAGCCACTGTCCTACATTATTATTGCATGCTCCAATGTCACACATTTTAACATCTCATTTTTTCAATTTTTCCTGTAGCTGCTGGGGAGCTACTTGAAACATCAAAAGAATATGAAAGCAGAAGTTAACAGTATCTTTTGAATAATAAACATTTCTCCTCAGTGGACTACTCCAAATAAAGCTATTAATGTGAAAGGAAATGTATGATATTTTGATACCTCCCAAATACTGCATTTTAGAAGCTGATGAAATTTGGGCAGCACCAAGGTTACTGACATCATAACTGCAACCACCAGATTCCATCTTTATTTTTCCTTATTACACACTTACTGCATGAATACAGAGCAAACAGAATTAATATTTATAAAGTAATGTACATGTGCACACCCATTTGCAAACCTAAACAAAGCACACTCATTGCCCTGAAAGAACTTCTGAAAACCCAGTTGTTCTTTGAAGCATTCCAGCTGTGAAGCTCACAGCCCCCACTCTCCTGTATAACGTTACATAGCGGAACCCTATTTATCCGATCTAATTGGGACTGGGGCCACATCGGATAAACAAAAATTCAGATAAACAGAAGAATGGGTGGGGGATTTCGGGGCTGCCAGCCCGAGCCCCGCCACCCGCGACTGACAGCGCCAATCTCCCTTACTCTATTCCTGGGTGTGCGCCAGGGGTGGGTTGGTTAATCCGGAGAGCCAGGTAACGGGTAAATGGGGTTCTACTGTATTGCAATGTTCCCATTCAATGGGCCCTTTGGCAGGGACACTTATGTGCAATGGTTTGCTCGCCCTTTTCTAAAGCGCCGTGTATTCTTGCATTGCTGCAGAAACAAGGGGCCCTCGTCCCGAAGAGCTGTCAGGCTAACTCGGACAAACACAGCACAACTAAGCGAGGCTGCAATTTATCCAAAGGGGGAAATTATCACGGCTTTGCTGGATCAGAAGTACTCGCTTCTTCCCAGAGACACTGATTTATTTGGGCGCCCGGCTCAGCCCCACTTCAGGCCTGGCCTCGCCGAACCACCTGAACGTCCCCTTATAAAGGGGGGGGGAGCGCAGCAGGGGGTGGCGAAGAGACTTTGCCATTTCACAGCACAGAGCCGGGCACTTTGACTGCAAAGCGGGGACGGGCAGCGGGAGCGAAAGGGGCGCCAGGCGCAGGGGCTGCTGCACCGTGACACAGGGGGCGCCCTACGGGGACGGGACCCACAGCCTGGCAGGCCCCCGCCCACACTGAACCTACCTAGGGGATAAGTCAGCTCCCGCGCCGGCTCCTTCCAGCCCCTCGGGGCGCCTCCGGCGGGGGGAGGGCGGGCAGCTTCCGGGCAGTTGCGCTCCTACGAGAACCCGCAGCGCTGCGGGGTGCTGATGGGCGGCCGCAGTCAACAACGGCCTTCCAGCCGCGCGCGCTCCCGACAGCACCAGAGCGCGCCCGTCTGGTGTTGGAAGGAGCCACCTGGCTAGCGGAGGCTGCGCCGGCGGAAAGGAGCGTGCGGGCCCGGAGCTAGCGCATGCGCAATGGCCATTCCCAAAGCCGGGGAGAGAGGTGGGCGGGGCCGCTGCGCCTCATGTGGGTTCCTCGCAGCCGCACAGTGGAGGGCGGACAGTGGCCGGGGCCAGGGAAGAGACGCACAAGGGGCTGGCCGGGCTGATCCGGGACAGCCGGACCCAGGGGTGCTCGTGGGATGAGAAGCAGCAGCAGCCGTGAAACGCCCGCAGCAACCCCCCCGCCCCCCGTCCTCACAGGGGTAGGGGGGAAACGTGTGACACGCAGGGCTGCCCTTGGGGGAAATGGTGCCCCGGACCTCTTGGGTGCACGGCACCCTATTGCCCCTACCCCCTGTGGGTGCCCTGGGTTCTCCACCTTCCCTTTCCTCCCAACTCCTACACTGTGCCCCTTTGCCCCAACTCCTATGCCCCGCACCTGCGCTCAAGTGGGGCAGCTGACCTAGATGCGTGGAGCAACTGGCATTGCTGCTCTTCTTCCTCGTCCCCCGCTGCTTTTCCTCCGTGCACCCCAAGGGGGCTGTGAGGGGGGAGCGAGGAGCAGCACCAGGGCTCCTAGTATCCTTGTCGCTTTCCCCACCTGGGCTGCGTAAGTGGAGGGCAGGAGAGCAGCAACTCCTGATGCTCGCTTTACACAGCACAGCACAGCACAGCCCAGGTGGGGAAAGTGACCTGGATACATGGAGCACTTGGTGTCATAGGTGCCGACTCTGTGGGTGCTCTGGGGCAGGAGCACCCACGGGGAAAAATTAGTGGGTACTCTGCACCCACAGGCAGCCAAGCTCCCCCCCTCCCATCCCCTCCCCTCCAGCGCCGCATTCCTGCTCCTTCGCCTACCTCCAAGCGTTTCCTGCCCGGCTGCCGCCAAACAGCTGTTTGCACACTCTGGGAGGGGGAGGAGCGGGAACCTGGCGTTCTTGGGGGAGGAGGCAGGGCCAGGGACGGGACTTTGGGGAAGGGGTTGGAATGGGGGCAGGGAAGAAGGGGGCAGGGGTGGGGCCTCATGGAAGGGGTGGAGTGGGGGCAGGGCCAGGGCATGGTGAGGTCGAGCACCCATGGAAATGCAGGGAAGTCAGCGCCTATGCTTGGTGTTGCTCCTCATTCCCCCCTCACAGCCCCCCTAGGGGGGCACAGAGGACCATGGGGGGGGCCTGAACAGTACTCCCCCCACCATGTTTGTTCACTGGGAAAAAGCAGGGAGAAATCTGGCTGCACCCCACACACACAGTGCTCCCTTGCCAGCCAGAAGCAGTTTCTTACAGTGCGCACCTCTACACTGCCGCACAGTGCCCCCTTGACTGATGTGCGCAGTGCAGTCCTCCCCCTTCTCAGAAATAAGAGAGGGCAACACACATCACAAACTCCCCCTCCATGTCCCACTCCAGCTGCGGCAGAGAAGGAAAACTGGGGCACCTGCAGAGGGAACTGATGGATCCCTTAAGTGTTATATAGTGCCCATCAACTATGGTTATGGGTGCACTAAAGTTAGAATGACCTGATGTTCAGATATTATTGTGACTGTCAGGGTATTAGGGACTTTGTTTTATATATGCGACTTCCCTCCCTCCTCCCCTGGAAAAAAATCCTGATTTTTCACACTTACTATCTGGTCACCTTAACTAAAGTGTATTTACACTTTTATTAGAGAGACTGGATAGTGACATTTTTAGGATCCTTCTGCTTATAATAGGTTTTTCCACAGTAGGATTTTTTGGGGGGGAGGGGGAGGAGGAAGAACAGTTCAAAGTAAATCACTTGTCTCTTTTTATGATTAGACCTATTCACCCAAATCAGTAATGGGTTGGTTCTGAACCTGCAGAATTTGGATGGTGCATACCTGAATAGCCGCCTCATTATGTTTCATGAATAGGGTTATAGAATTGGCAGATTCATACAGGATAAGAAAGTCATACAAAGGTACCAGAAATGTCATGGCTGCACATTCCCCCACTCCCCAAATCATAAGTAAGTCAGAGATGACAACAGTTGAGTAAATGCTGCAAAAAAGTATCTGTGAACATTCATTAGAATAAATTCACACATTTGTTACTATTTGTGACCTCTCTTATTTGCTTTCCCTAAACGTTTGTATGTGCAAGCTTTTTGTTAACAAGATTATAGAAAGAAATTTTCAGGCATACTCATGAAAATATGTATTTGCATTAACATTCACACCAAAAGTGTTTGCATCAACTTCTTAAAAGCACTTCTGGGACTAGAAATCATCCAGTCAGAGAGCTGAGACTAAGAAATATTAAATTATTAATAGCAAATTCTCAAATCAGTGGTAATGGTGGACAATGTCAGGCAATCCATGAGCTAAAGTATGTTTGCAAAAACACATTGAATAACTTAAATTAATATAAAATATGTTCATGAATAATTTCAGAGGTAAAAAGACTAAATTGCTCTAATAAATTGCTCACTGCAAATAATACTTTAAAAGATGCAAAATTCTGAAAAGCAAGAGCCAGATCTTGCTGTAAAATAGACTGATAGTCACTCAGAGAACTGAATAGGGCAAAGGACTTGTCATCCTGGTAGCTGCCTGGATCTGCTGGAACTGCCAGCAGTGGTGTGTGGTCTGATGGTATTATAGGCAACTTCTGAGGTGCTTATTAGTAGTGGGGATATTTGTTTTGCAATGTAGGTAAGCAGACATGAATCAAGGAACAATAGAGAGAAGCTATTGAGAAAGAAAGGGCTTTTCCTCCTCTTCACAGCAACCATATAAAATAATAACCCGCAAGTCTAAGCCTAGTACAGTAATAAAACTGAATACAGATAAAATCTCACCCTCAGAGATGTTTGAATAAGTTTCTTTCACAGACTGGACGCTTTCCTAGTCTAGGCACATTCCTTTCCCCTGGTACAGCCCTTGTTCCAGCTCAGGTGGTAGCTAGGGAATTTCTCATGACTGCAGCCTCCTTTGTTCTGTTTCAGCCACTTATATATCTTTTGCATAAGGCAGGAATCCTTTGTGTCTCTGGGTTCCCACCCACCCCTTCTAAATGGAAAAGCACGAGGTTAAAGATGGATTCCAGTTCAAGTGACATGATCACATGTCACAGTAAGACTTCATTACCCACTTGCCAGCACACACGTATACAGGAAGACTTACAAGTAAAACAAAGCCATTTACAGTCAATTGTCCTGGTTAATGGTAGCCATCAAGATTCCAAACCACCATTAATGGCCCACACTTTGCATAATTACAGTAGACCCTCAGAGTTATATTTCATATTTCTAGTTTCAGATACAAGAGTGATACATTTATACAAATAGGATGACCACACTCGGTAGATTATAAGCTTTGTAATGATACCTTACAAGAGACCTTTTGCATGAAGCTCACTTTAGTTACATTATATTCACACATCAGCATATTTTCATAAAATCATATATAGAGTGCAATGTCACACTTACCTGTCTACTGTGCACTTATTTTCCTTCCTAAAAGAACTAATGTACTTCTCAGGGTCCATTATACAAGTTGCTTGGTACCATGATAGATAGTATATAGTAAACTATTTCATAAATAATATACTTTGCATGAATTTTATCTTTGGAATTCAACCTTGGAAAAAAACATTGTGAGTTTTTAAATTTTTACTTATAGTTTGATTATACTCAAAAAGTGACTGTAAAATTGGCAACCTAATACTCAACAGATCTATTATCTGTATGTACTCAGAGCCATACATACTCTGCAGTGTATCTAATAAATCATCATCTTATTTAGATTGGGCAAAATTGCAAAGACTCGACTTAGGTTCAGGGCCTCACTGTGGTAGGTTTAGGGCCTCACTGTGGTAGGTAAACAAAGAGGAAGACATGGTCCCTGCCCACAAGAGCATATTTACGGCAGGATATGCTGAGTGAGCAAATGATAGAAGGGAAGCTGGGAAGGAGGATGAAAGCAACAGTGCTGAATTCATGCATTTATATAAGCCAGTGTTGAGCCCAGCTGGATGGAAAATATTCTGTATATTATTTCCAACCTAGCCATCTTCAGCTGATTGATTTCTCATAGGCATCACAGAAGTGGATATTATGGGTCTATATTTTTCCTGTTTTACTCCTCTGAGTATTCAGAGCCCATAGAATTATAGGAGAGTAAGCTGGTTTCTTTTCTGGTTGGCATATCATCAACAAAATTAGTAAGAATGAAATGCTTATGGAAAACAGAGCGTAAGGCACTATGGAGTGCCAGCTCTATGACATACTATTTCCCCTGTGGCATGCTAATCCTGTAAAACCATCTTTGTTGGTACTCTGTGAAAATCAAGCTCTGCGATAGACTGGGGTGGAAGAATGCCCATCTCTACTCAGCACCAAGTGATTAATTGTCCCTATCTTTGGTATCTAGTGATTTCCCTAGTGCTACAAATTAGGTTTGTTTGAACAAAGGTAATTGCAATTTAATTTAATGAAACAGGGAGAAAAATTAGGAGAACTTATATCAGATAATGAGAGTAGCAGGGCTATGTGAAGGGGGTTTCATATGATTCCAATGGAGCTGGAACCGAGCCCATCATGGGCCTGTAATGCCTTCCTCCCCCACCCCGTTTATCAGTCTTTTCTTCTGTCATGGGGCCCTAGCTTTTTCTGTAATTGCTCCCCTTCATTTTACCTTATTCCTGAGTTCTGGCTCATTCCTTTCACCTGATATATCCCTGAGTTTCACACAGATATTAGTTAAATCTTTCACCTACTAGTGCAGTTATTCCAAACCTAGCAATCCATTTGTAAAGAGCTTGGTGGGTAAATTCTTATGGTCAATTATGATTAGGGCTCTCAGTTAATCGCAGTTAACTCACACAATTAACTCAAAACAATTAATTGAGATTTTTAAAATTGCAATTAATCATACTGTTAACCAATAGAATACCAATTGAAATTAAATATTTGGATGTTTTTCTACATTTTCATATATATTGTAGTCTGTGCTG